CGGGAGGGGGAGGGCGGTGTCTGCAGACAGGCACGGGAGGGGGCCTGGTGGCTAAGCTGCCTCCCTCCATCCTGCGTGCACCATAGCCTGAAGGCGGTAGCTTGCAAGTGACAAAACTTTACTAAGTTGGCTTAAGTGAATTGGAAGTGGCTAGAGCAGCCAGTAAATCCTTAGAATAGATCAAGGTATCACATTAAGCATTGTTATTTATTGCTTTACATAAAATTATAACACCAAAAATTATAAACAAAAGTAGAAGTTGATGTCATTCATGTATCTCTATTTCCCCTATTATCCTATTAATAAAAGCCTATGTGGTCATCACACCCTCACACCATGACGCCCTCACGCCACAACAAGCAATCACCAGGAGGCTGCGTGTGCAGCGGGCATGCGCGGGTGGGCGGGGCTGCATGCAGGCATGGGTGGGCTGGGGCTTGATGCTGCGTGTGCGGCGTGGAGGCAGGGTCTGTGGTTCCGTGCGGTGAGGCCTGGGGGTCCCTCGGCTCCACATGGCACAGAGGCGGGGAGTGCGGATCCACACAGTGAGGCAAGGCGAGGCCAGGGGTCCCGCAGCTCCGCATGGTGCGGAGGCAGGACCCCCGGCTCCAGCCTACCTCTTTGGGGTGATTGATCGCAGGGCTCCCGCACTGTGAGAGGGCACAGGCCAGGCTGGGGGGACCCCCCCAACCAGTGAACAAATTTTGTGCACGGGGCCTCTAGTGTTTTATAAGTATTAAACTATTTCAAAAGGGAACATTTTATATTTTAGCACCTTTAACTGCACTTTTCCCCCTGCATGTTCATTTTGCATTGGGTCTCACAAATTATACAGCTGGCCCTGCCCTTTAGCCCTCCTGTTCACACACTATACTCAGAAGAGATCTTTTGGGGCAAAAAGTTGCATAAAAAGTGACATAGCTGAGTTCTGAGTAGTTCAGGTGTATTCCTTTGCTGTAACAAAGTACCAGAAAATGGAGGGCCAACCAACAGAAATCTACTCATTGTCTTACAGTTCTGGGGGCCAGAAACCCAAGAGCCGGTGTCAGCAGGGGCGGCTCCTTCTGAAATCTCGCGTCTTGGCTGGCAGGTGGCCATCTTCTCCCTGTGTCTTCACATGGTCATCCCTCCAAACGTATCTGCGTCCGAAGTTCCTTCTCTTATGAGAAGGTGCCTCTGCCGCCCGCCCCCCATGGCAGAGGAAGGACGCTTTTGCCCCTTCGCACACTTGATCACAGTGGATTAAGGCCCATCCCAATGACCTCTTTTAACTTAATTACCTCTGTAAAGACACGCCAGGTAAAGCCACGTTCTGAGACACCGAGGGTTAGGACTTCAACGTATGGATTTAGGGGTGGGAGGTGGGACGTAATTCAACTAAAAACATTAGGTAATGGCAGAAGCATAAGTCTTATTTCTCTAAAATATCTTCAAAAAAGTAAAAACAGATTAAAAAAAAAACATATGAAACAACCCAAACTCATCCCCTCAGCATAACCCAGAGGAGGTGGCATCAGGCACAGAGTTCCATCATCTCTGCCTTTTGGGGTCTGTCGCTAAGGGAAGTCTCCGAAGACCCCATCCTCTGGGTTCCTCCATATGTGCTAAGAACTTACCTTCATTGGTGCATTTTGTCTTGTCAACAAAGGGTTGCTGCCACCAATCCAATGCCGACAGGAATCACCAATCTGAGGTGCAGTAAAAGGACACTTTTTTCAGGAAAATGGAGTAAATGCAGCCTCCAGTGCCCTCCCTAGAGGTAAAGCAGAAGCCTGCTTATACAGAGAAAGTGCCTGCCCTGATCCCTGATTGGTCCATTTTTATGCAAATTAAGGATCCAAATTTGCAGTTTGATTAGACCAAAATGCCATGTCCTGATTGGTCAGAATCATGTGTCCTGATTGGTCATTATGGAGCTGCTGTGATTGGTTTCTAAAGATGCAAATGAGGCCCAAGCCATTTTTCTCAGTGGATAGAGCATCAGCCTGCAGACTGAAGGGTCCCAGGTTCTATTCCAGTCAAGGGCACATGCCTGGGTTGCTGGCTGGCTCAGTCCCCTGTACAAGTGGGCATGCAGGAGGCAGCTGATCAATGATTCTCTCTCATCATTGATGTTTCT